GGAAGATACACCACTATAGATAGATACAGATACTTTTTAAAAAATTAGCTATATATATGGGGGAAAAGTGCTCAATATTGGGGATAAAACATTTGTGGGTATAGCATAGTCATATAAATCAAATCTGCATGGTGACTAATGCTTTCATATCTCCAATGATCTTCAGCCCACACTCAAGGTTTGAAACTGCCAGCAACCATTAAGTATTAATTTTTATCTATCTCACCAAGCTCTCTCTCAGACACACACACATTTATATTTATATATATATATATATATATAAAAGAACAAATAGGAAACATCAATCTAACATGTTTCACTTTTATTAAAGCTTCATCAGAGATTGAGAGAAAACAAACAAAAAGACAAAAACACTAGTATTTTCAATGATGTTTCTTTTCAGTTCTCATTGGTCACACATGTCACATGTGTTAATACCATAGATAATTCTATGCATATGTAAAGATTCTTGTATGTCTAAGTGGGCATTGGATGGTAATGTGTATTTGTAATTGTGTATGTGTTTCTCCAGTGGGAGTTTCATCTTCACATTTGTGTGGTCAACCCATGCAGTGCAATGTCATTGATATAAGTTAGATGACAGTGTAATGTAATGTTTTATGCATGTGTTTATAATTGGTAATAATATTATCATTAAGTTTTCAATATATTTTCTTCTTAAAGAATTGTTTTTTTTAGAGTGGCATTAGTGAAATCAAAGTTATGTCCAGCATCATTTTGATGCAAAATGACAGAGATCATTTGTCTAAATGCAAATCTTTGTGTTCATAGATGCAGGCTTTTAGATCACATAAACATTTTTGCATTGTAAACGATTTATTTGATAAATCCTGGCATTTCAATTGATGTTGGGCTTATTTTCCTTCTGAATTATATCTCCAATTGTCTTGGAGGTGGGGGTAACGATCCTAGTATTATGGATGACTAATTTGTTTGCAAGTTTAGTAGAAACAGTGTTGAGGGCAGGATTATGAATTTTTTGTAATTTTTGTTACAAGTATTATTGGTGGTGTCTGTGTTTTTTTTTTTTTTGTTTTTTTTTTGGCTTTGTGGATTTTGTAAATTCATTTTTTATCATTGAGGATAAAATGATGTGGGTAGTGGAGAAGTTTGAAAGTTTTCTCAATTATATCTCTTTGTTCATGTAAGGGAGACATCATGGGATCTAAATACCCACATCTACAAACACAAGAGAGACTTGCATTTGGACAAATGATCTCTCATTTTGTATTGACTTGATACTAGACATTTATTTCACTAATGCCAACCTTAATAAAAAAAACAAAACAAAACAATTCTTTAAAGAGAAAATACTTTGAAAACCTAATAACATTATCACCAAATATAAACACATGCAAAAACCTTACATTGCCATCTTTCTTTGAATCTATTCTTAAAGAATTTAACTTATATCTAACACAAAGAATACATTCTTAAAAAGTCCAGCCATACATTAGAACCTTGTGACACCCTGCCACATGGGTTGACTGCACAAAGATTAAGATAAAACTCCCACTAGACTAACACATACAATTACAAATACACATTACCATTTGATGCCCACTAAGACATACAAGAATTTTCACAAACTTACATACATATAGAATTATCCACAGCTTTAATACACATGACGCACATGTGACCAATGAGAACTGACCCAAACATCAATGAAAATACTACTGTTTTTGGCTTTTTTCTCTTAATCTCTGATGAAACTTTAATAAAAGGGAAACATGTTAGTTTGATATACTTTTATTTTATCATCCGGTTGGATACAAATCCATATTTTTTGATCTGCATTTGATGTTTAACTCTCTCTCATTATATATATATATACACGAGTTGAGATGAAATATGCATCCAATGCAGATTGGAATCCAACAATAATAATTTGTGTCATTCTGAATTCAAGGAGAGAGAACACATCCATTCAAAGTCAGAACACCACACATTATACTAATGTTTGTTTAGAAAGTCAAAAGGTACGTGAAACATGGTTAACCAATAAAAATCTAACAAGTAAAAAATATTGAAATTTCTTTCAAGTAAGAAAGAAATTTCTCCATATCTCATTTGCTTATAAACATTTAATAGAAGTGAAACATGTTAGATTGATGAACATTTCCTATTTGTTGTCATTATATATATATATATATATATATATATATATATATAGAGAGAGAGAGAGAGAGAGAATCTCCACAATCATGGATGAAACATGTAAGCAATGAGAAATTTTCAAGGAAAACAGAATTACAATGAAAATATTCATCACAAATAATCAATAGTAAAAATACTGATAACATATGGCCACTAGATTTCTTTATGATATAAACATTGCAGAGCTAAAAAGAGCCATTCATAGAAGAGGTTTACTAAATGTAAGTGAGGTAAGTGAATCTAGAAGGAAGTGAGGATAAGAAGGGTAGACAACAAGTGTCCCTTGACTTAAAGAGGTTAAGATTATAGTGTTCAGGGAAGCATCCATGTAGGCGTTTGTTTCAAAAGGCAGCAGTTCTCAGGAAAAAAGCTATCTGATGTAACTTCCTCCTTGCAAAGGAAATGCAAGAAGACAACTTCTACAAATATGTATAATGACTCTTTGGGCATAGCATGGCATGTCTGAGCTGGAAAGGTCAGAACTGGTAAAACTAAAGTGTGGAGCTCATCTGAACATTTCCCATGGAAATTGTTGATTTCAATCCAAGTAGGAATGTCTTCAAAAATACCTCCCTCCCCATTTTTATAGACAAATCACAGTAGATGCATACTTAGATTTCTTTCAAGCCAATAAGATAGACCACTTCTCAATCTCATGTGCCATATTCCTGTTTTTTTTTCTTTTTTGTCTTTAAGTTAGAATTCTGTGATCACATATCTGTATCCCTTTAATTTATAAACTTTTTGTCTCATTACTGTTGCTTTGCCTACTTTCGTCCATTTTTTTTTCATTTTTTTTTTTTTTTACAGTAAGTCTCACCTTTTACAAGGCCCTGGCATCATTCAAGGCAGAGGGTAGGAGGCAATTTGTGGAAGGAGTCGAAAGATAATGGTTAACCCTAGCTTTGAACAGGTTAGCTGTTAAAGTGGAACTTACTTCTCACCGATGGAATATAGAGGGAATGTGAATGGTTTGCTACTATGTAAGTGGCATGGCAGGTCCATGCCATGGAGGTTTGAATTGTCAGGACCAGGGAATGTAGTACATCCAAGCACTTTCTGTGGCAGTAGTGAGAGACTTGCTACATCCCACCAGTGGGGGAGAGACTGGAGGGTGGAGAATAATTTGTCATCCACAAGAACTTGGAGATGCTTTTGGACTATCAGTATTGGAGAGTGAGGTCTGAGGAACTTACACACACCCATATATATATATATATATATATATATATATATATATATATATATATATATATATAAAAAATTTCTGATTTAACCAGTAGAGAAGGCAATATTTATGAATAAAAATGACAATAGGAAAACTAGTAATTGCTGACGCGTTTCGTCCAATGTGGACTTTATCAAAGTTTTTCAGTTGACAATATGAAAATAGCTTTTCTCTACATTCCAGTTGCTAGGAACATTCTGTTTTGTTAGTTACCTTGTTTCAATTAAATTCATTTCGTATTTTGCTTTGATAAAGTCCACATTGGACGAAACATGTCAGCAATTACTAGTTTTCCGTTTTATATATACTGTATATATATATATATATATATATATATATATATATATATATTCTTGCTTCATATTATTTTTACCTTACTTTGTTCTTTTTTTTCATCTGTTATTGTTTATTGGTCACTTCTGTCAACAAAAGCCAGTCCTGGAAATTTCTTGACTGGACTCATTTCCCAATATCTCATGAAATGACAAAAGGATCAGAATGACTTTTGGGAAGATATCTTGGTCACGTTGTGAACTTTTTGACACCCACCACTTACCTAACAAAAATATGTATAATGCAACAATTGTTATATGCAGGAGGGGATGCTGAAAATTTGTTAGTTTGATCAGAAATTGGAATGTTTTTTTGTGAAGGGCTATTTAGTCAGACTGAGGACTTTTCAGCACCCCAATCTGAATTTAATAAAACAGAAAATAACAATGAGTGTTTTTTTTAGAGTAATGGAAACTCTCATATGATGAGGTTTGGGTAGTAAGTTCATTATTTGCGAAATACACCATTATTTCAAATTTAGTCTTCATACAATTGCTGTATATTGGTGACTGTTATTATTATCAAAAATGATAATAATAATAATCATCATCATCATCATCATTTGGGTAATTGTAATAAAACAATTATTTTGATTCAAGAAATGATGAAAGTATGGGAATACCGGAAGTCTATAGAAGAGAAACATAAGCTTTTTAAGAGAGAAAGAGAAAAAATCCGTAGAATATGGAAGTTGTTGATACTCTCATGATTTTGGATTACTTGGAACACTCCACAAATATTTCAAAGAAAGACTTAAAGGCAAGATGGAAATAATAGTTGTCCTGCTAAATATGGCAAGAATATTAAACAACAACAAAAAAAGAAAATAACTTAATATCCAAAGGAATCATGGCATCAACTGCTCAAAAAATAATCTTCAAAAACAGAAATATGATCAAGAGAATTCTGATAAGAAGAAGCCAAAATATTTCTCTCAAATGCAGGAATATTCAAAGAAATTTCTGAGCATGCAGTTGATTCCTTGCTTGCTTAACAAAACTCTTTTGCAGGTACAGATATTGTCAGCCGTCAGCAATAAGAAGAATGTTGATGCAACTATGCAAAGCAAAACAAAATCCTAAAATAAAACGTGAAAAATTATAATAAAAAAAAGAAGTTAAACTTAAACATGAGAATATAAAAACATTATTAATATAACTATACAAGGAGTCACACAAACTTTCAGGGAATTTGAACAGCACATGTAAGACCAGATGCAGCAGCGACATTTCTCAAAACCTTTCATGAACAGCACCTTTTAAATATATATATATATATATATATATATATATATATATATATATATATATATATATAGATAGATAGAGATAGATATAGATGATAGAGATAGATATATATAGATAGATATATATAGATAGATATGAGATATAGATATATATAGATAGATATAGATATATATATATATATATAGATATAGATATATAGATATAGATATATAGATATAGATAGATATAGAGATATAGATATATATAGATAGATATAGATATATATATATATAGATATATATAGATATAGATAGAGATAGATATAGATAGATAGAGATAGATATAGAGAGATATAGATAGAGAGAGAGATATAGATATATATAGATGAGATAGAGAGATATAGATATATATAGATAGATATAGAGAGATAGATATATATAGATAGATATGAGAGATATAGATATATATAGATAGAGAGAGATATGATATATAGATAGATAGAGAGAGAGATAGATAGATAGAGATAGATAGGAGATAGATAGAGATATAGATAGAGAGAGAGATAGATAGAGAGATGAGATAGAGAGATAGATAGAGAGATATAGATGGATAGATAGATAGATGAGTGATGGATGATAGAGAGATAGAGTGATAGATGAGATAGAGAGATAGATGATAGATGAGATGGATGGGATAGATAGATAGAGAGATGGATGGATGAGATAGATAGAGATAGAGGATGGATAGAGAGATAGATGGATAGAGAGAGATAGATGGGATAGAGATGGATGGAGAGAGATGGATGGAGATAGAGAGATGGATAGATAGAGATGGATGATAGATGGATAGATGGATAGATGGATGGGGATGATAGATAGATGGGATGGATAGATGGATAGATGAGATGGATAGATGGAGATGGGGATGAGATGGATGGATGGGGATGGGGATGATGGATGGAGATGGAGATAGAGATGGAGGATGATGGGATGGATGGGGGGATGGATGGGGATGGAGAGATAGAGATGGGGATAGAGAGATGGATAGATGAGATAGAGATGGGGATGGATGATGGGGATGGGGATAGATAGATAGATGGGGATGGATGGATGGAGATAGAGAGAGATGGAGATGGAGATGGGAGATGGATGGAGATGGGATGGGAGATAGATGGGGATGGAGATGGGGATGGATGGATGGGGATGGGGATGGGGGATGAGATGGGGATGGAGAGATGGATGGAGAGATGGAGAGATGGATGGGGATAGAGAGATAGATGGAGATGAGAGATGGATGGGGATGGGGAGATAGATAGAGATGGGGAGATAGATGGGGATGGAGATAGATGAGATAGAGAGATAGATGGATGGGGAGATGATAGAGAGATAGAGAGATAGATAGAGATAGATAGAGATAGAGAGATAGATAGAGATAGAGAGATAGATACTGTATCAGAAATCAGTGGGTTGTGTGAAATCAAAACAGCTGTGTTCAAATTTCAGGCTGATCTGTTGCATTCATTTTTGCACAGATATGCTTAAAAGCATAAATCCATCTCTTCACCATCAGAAAATGAGAAAGATTTGTGTGAAAAAAAAAAAACAAAAAAAAACAAACAATATTCAGGAAGACAGTCAGCTGACATTGCATTTAAATCTGATGATTGTAGGTGCCAGCTAAGCAAGAAATCAGAGGTTCCACAGGTGAGAAAAGAAGCAATTAAAATAAGACATATGGTTGCATCTATTTCAACACTAAAACAGTGATATTTAGTTGCCAAGCTAGTAGTAGTATTAGTAGTACAGTCAAGACACCAAGGAGGAAAACTCATTAGAACAATTGCCATGAAAATAAAAACCGACTAATATATAATCTTCCAACAACTGAACAGACATTCATGTCATAATCTATAGGTGTCAGTCGGTTATGTGCCATGTGTAATACATGCTTAAGTGATCATGTACCTTTTGATACATGACTGACGAGGCAGATTTTTTTTCCTCCACAGTAGGTTGCCATTTCTTTCTGTTGTAGACCAGTTACCATCCAAGGCTATAAAACCTGGTCTGTCCTGATATTTTACCCATAGTTGGGGTGAGAAGAAGAGGATTCATACTTTTCCCAAGGTTATTAGCACATAAGTGAATGTAATGGATTCAACTGGAATTTGAACTTGGTTCTCCATCTGAGCCACTATATATTATTCCACTGGGCATCTAGGTGACATTACATTAAAATGTAAATAAAAACCAACACTCAAAGAATCTAAGATCGAAATATTTGTGGACGATGAAATACATTTGCTTCAATCATTCGTCATATTTATACAATTCAATTACAAGAATAAAAGCACTATTTTTTTTTATACACACTTAAATCATCTTAACATTTCAAAAATCAAACCAACTCAAATGCCATAAGGTATATACATGACATCTACAAAACCAATGAAAACAAAAACAAACATTTTAAATTGATACATACATAAATATATATGCCATAAGATACACACATGATCTCTACCCAACCAATGAAAATAACAGAATTTAAAAAGTGAAAACTAGCTCCACATTGATTCTCTTCCAAAAAAGAAAAATCATGAAGTTAAATTAAATGATGAAACATGTTAAATTCATATAAATTTTCCAACTTGTTCCTTATTTAATCATTCTTTCAATGAAACAAATATACTCAGTTTTTTATACAAATTTAAATTATGCTGGCATTTCAAGAATCAAACAAACTCCATTAGGTATAAACGTGATGTCTACATAGCCAATGGAAGCAAAATACAGAATTTAAGAAATGACACATACATAAACATTAAAGCCAAAAGATATACACAATGTCTACTGAGTCAATGAAAGCAAACAGTATAGAATTCATGTTTGTTGTTATGATCATGTTTCAACCATTAAACTCTGCCTTCTTCAGGTGTCTGTCGGTATAGCTATGCTTCAGTATTTAACTTAAGAACATTTGACAACTATGATAGGAAGGAGAACAAATATTTTTACAAATGAAAAGGTGGCTGAGCAGGAGTTTTTAATAGGGATTACTAAGACACCCAAGTAGCCATTATATATATATATATATATATATATATATATATATATATATATATATATATATATATATATATATATATATATATATATATATATATATATATACATACATACATACATACATATAGTCGACTCTCCCGTCGATTTCGACATATGAGGGTCAAGCAGATCAGTTTCCAGGAAACCGACAGCCCGACAATGACACATGAGAGTTGATTATAGTGGTGAAGGCCTCGTGCAGGACCATCCACACTTTTTGAAGCGACAAATACAGAGACCTGGTGCGCTAAGTGCAACAAGGTTCCCAAACGACCCTCCGCATGTTTTGAACAGAGTTGTCCTTCTCCTCGACCAGTTGCCATTTAAGGCTATAGAACCCTGTCTGTTCTGCTATTTTACCCATAGCTGGAGGGAGAAGAAGAGGATTCACACCTTTTCCAAGGGCATTGGCATGTAAGTGAATGTAATGGATTCGACTGGAATTCGAACTCGGCTCTGCAATTCCTCAATCCAAGCCACTATCCATTACTCCACCGTGCGTGTGTATATATATATATATATATATATATATATATTTATTTATATATATATACACAGACACAGATATACACAAATTAGTGTCTATTGATTTGGGTAACCTTCAGAATTTAAGAATATTTGATAAAAATGATCGAAAAGAGAAGTCAAGAATAAAAAAAAGGCTTTCTTTATTTAAGCAATCCTTATTCAAGAACATGTTTTGTTAAGCACTCTTTAACCATCTTTCAAGCAACTTCTTTATTCTGTCCTCCTGAAATCTCTCTTTCTCACCAACAAATTGCTCTTGATGAGGTTTCTAGTCTTATAGGGAAGTGATATTGTTTTTGAAATATACTTTTCTAAAAACCAGAATGAATGGTAATTGAGATATGTAAATATCTGGTGAATATGACATATGTTTAAAAGCTTCCCAGCCAACCATAACTATTTTTGTTCGATCACAACAAAACAAAAAAAAAACTCTGATCTCATGCCTCTCTGATTGAATGAGATTCTTTCTTTTAATTCCATTCATTGAATGCTGTATTTGGTCAGTCGATGCACACACTGCTTATATCTATTAATGCTCTCTCTTTGATATTGAACACGCTTCCTCATAAATATATCACATTTTAAACCATATTCATGTCTACCATACTAACGTTTCATTTTCATAATGACTAAGTTGGTTGAAAGTACCAGAACAGGAAATTTGGGCTTTTTAAGGAAAAATTAAATAGACTGTTGAGAAAACTTAACTAAGTCCAATAAGTCTATTATCTCCCCTTTCTTAGCTCTCCTGCATGGAAAGTTTAATAAAAGATTTTATTCCTCTTCTGTACACACGTGTTATTTTCCTACAATCAACTTAGACAATTCCTAACTCTTATTCAACAGCGGCTTGTTAATTTTAACACAGACCTTATAAATTGAATGTAACAAAACTTGATTAAAGGAATTCTTTCTGCCTATATATTATATACTTTTTCCTTTTCCCAGAGATTTTCTTCACCTATTATACCAATAAACTATAACGGTTCTTTCACCATTTCAGAAACAGCTGCTTGTTCTATGAGGTCTGTCTGAAAATTAACATGACTGGTGTCACAAACAATTTATTTCAATTCCAAACAACAAACTACATGGTTTCTCCTTCAGAGTACTCCCCCCTCAAGTCTTGTGCCCTTCTCCATCCTTCTCTGCCTCTCTTCTATGCACTGCTGGAATGATTATTCTTGGATGCCACTCAGCACCATCATCATAGCCCTCTTGATAGCTTCCACACCTTCAAAACAGGTGCCCATGATGATCCACTTGAACTTTGGGGGGGGGGAAATGTCACATAGAGCATGATCGGGTGAACAAGGAGATTATTCCAGTACGGCAAGGTTCTTCTCAGCCAGGAACTGGTGGATGCTAAGGGTGTTGTGAGTAGGTGCATCATCATGGTGAGGCAGTCACAATTTGCGCTGACACAAAAGCATGTGAAAAAATGCAATGGTTGCCAAAAGCTAAGATTACAGTTATATACTCCCAAGATATCATATTGGATGACAACATATATAAGATATCATATTGGATGACAACATATATAAGATATCATATTGGATGACAACATATATAAGATATCATATTGGATGACAACATATATAATAAGATATCATATTGGATGACAACATATATAAGATATCATATTGGATGACAACATATATAAGATATCATATTGGATGACAACATATATAAGATATCATATTGGATGACAACATATATAAGATATCATATTGGATGACAACATATATAAGATATCATATTGGATGACAACATATATAAGATATCATATTGGATGACAACATATATAAGATATCATATTGGATGACAACATATATAAGATATCATATTGGATGACAACATATATAAGATATCATATTGGATGACAACATATATAAGATATCATATTGGATGACAACATATATAAGATATCATATTGGATGACAACATATATAAGATATCATATTGGATGATGACACAACGTGCTTATCCCTCTTTTGCCCAGACACCTGAAAAAGTTCAGACAGTACAATGGCAAGCATATTGTAATCATGAAAAATAAAACGCAAAGATGAGAACATTGATCTGAATACAAATAAGAACTCATTTGAAAATAAGACAAAATCATTTTGCTCATAAAATCGTTTCTTTTCTACACACAATTATCAGATTTCATGACAAGACACTTCCAACATCTTCATGTTGCAAAATTATCCTGAAGCATGAACATTTCTATGAGCTTCTGCAGCAGACTTGTAGAGACTGGCATCATGATGACCTGGAGATGACTCATGAATCTATCTCTTGGGACACCTGGCCACTTCTGTGATTTATATCACAGACTTGAAGGTAATGCATCCATTTCTACACTTACAAATCTGATTTACATTATATCCCAAAAGTAGGAGATTTTATATTATCATACAGACTTGCATGTTGTAAATTTCTGTTTCTAAAAAATAATGTTAAACTACAATTAAACTACAATTATGCTAAGTGCATTTTGGTTTTTTTGTCTGTAATGCTTGTAAACTTTTTTGTGATGTCAATGAACACTTGTCTGACACTTTTGTAATGTCAATGAATACTCATCATCACTTTCATAATGCTTGTTGTAGTACAGACTTTGTAATCGTAGATGGTGGATTCTCTCAGCATATTCGATCTATGAGGGCCAAGCAGTTCAGTTCCGAGGAACTGACAGTCAGACACCAGCACACGTGATTTGATTATAGTGGTGAAGGCTTTGTGAAAAACCAACCACACTTTTTGAAGGGCTGAATACAGAGACCTGGTGAACTACATGCCACA